GGCAACCTCCACAGTGCTCAGGGCTTACCCCTGGCTCTGCACTCAGGGATCACTCCTGTAGGTTCAAGGGATATAAAGGGTGCCAGAGTTTGAACCAGGTTCAGCCACATGCAAGGCAAGATCCCTACCAGTACTGTGCTAATCCTGATTGTACTGTGGCTTTAGCCCCCAAAATAAATTCTTTAAATCCATTCATAATAGGAGATAAAAAAAAAACACCTAATCATGGAACTGGAGTGATAGCACAGAGACAGGGTGGTTACTTTGCATGTAGACAACCCTGCTTCCATCTCCAGCATCACAGGAAGTGATCCTGAGTGCAGAGACAGGAGTAAACATTGAACACAACTGGGTATGGCTCAAAAGCCAAAAAACCAAACCAAACCAAAACAAAAGCCATCTAATCACACAGATGAAAAAATAATATCTACACAACCAGTCTTGTTTGTTGAAATATTTCTTTAATGAAGACAATTTTAGGTTCTTGATACATACTACTTCTAAGAGAACTGTGCCTTCATGACTGAATCACCAAATTGGAATTATTTTTAACTTTTTTAAAAGGTCACAAGGTAAATGGGCTGGAGCAATAGTACAGTGGGTAGGGCATTTACCTTGCATGTGGCTGATCTGGGTTCGATCCCCGGCATCCCATATGGTCCCCTGAGCACTGCTAGTAGTAATTCATGAGTGCAGAGCCAGGAGTAACCATGAGTATCACTGGGTATGACCCAAAAAGACAAAACCAAAAGCAGCAAAGTAACATACACCATGGAAAAATTCAGAATATAGGAATGGGTCACTGTCACTGTCACTGTCCTCCCATTGTTCATTGATTTGCTCGAGCGGGCCCAGTAACGTCTCCATCGTGAGACTTGTTACTGTGTTTGGCATATCAAATACATCACGGGTAGCTTGCCAGGCTTTGCCATGTGGGCGAGATACTCTCAGTAGCTTGCCGGGCTCTCCGAGAGGGGCGGAAGAATCGAACTTGGGTCAGCCATGTTGGCCGCTTGCAAGGCAAACGCCCTACCTGCTGTGCTATCGCTCCAGCCCAGGAATGGGTATATAAATGGGTATATATATATATATGTATATATATATATATATATATATAAATTCTAGGAAGAGTCCTCTACGAAGAGTTCTGTCGCTAAGAGATTTACTTATATTTTGGGGGGAGTTGGGATGGTGCCGGTGGTGCTGAGGGCTTCCTCCTAGTTCAGTGTTCAGGGATCACTTCTGGTGGGCTCAAGGGACCATATGGAGTGCCGTGAATTTGGAACAGCTGCATGCAAGGGAAGCACTGTATCCATTGGACTAGCCCTCTGGCCCCTTAAGAGGTTTTCTTGGGGAATCTGGGGTTGCTGCTCAGGGATCATTCCTGGAGGTGCTCAGGGAACCATATTCAGTGCTGGAGATGGAACCAGGGCTGGCTTTGTGCAGAGCAAGTATCTTAACCCCTATACTATCTTTCCAGCCTCTAGCTAGAGTTTTTTTTGCCCTTCCAAATGTTTAGTTTCTGCATGCACATAAAATTGTTACTCTGGTTGACAAATTACTTATATTTCTCTTAATTGCTTCTCCCCAGCCCCCACATTGTTATACTACTGCTGGGGCATATTTAACTGGACTACACATACTTGCCTCTATCCTTTATCTTATTATCTGTTTTGGGGTCATACCTAGTGGTGCTCAGAACTTCTCCTGGCTCTGCATTCAGGGATCACTCCTGGCGTGCTCAGGGGAACATATGAGATATTGGTGATTGAACCTGGGTCAGCTGTGTGTGAGGCAAGCACCCTACCCACTGTCCCATCACTGGGCCCATCCCTCTATCCTTTAAACAGCTGGAGACAGTTGTTGCCAAGGTTTTCACTAGAACTGCAAGATAAGAGTGTCCTTTCTGTCTAATTGTGGCAGCCCAGATTGAATGGGAGAATACAGGAGAAAACAAAACAGAACAATAACAACAAAAACAAAAAGAGCTCTAGAACCACAGCCTGTAAGTTTCCTCAGGTTGTCACCATCACAGATATGGCTGCAATGAACAGTTGTGAATAGAAACTCTAGGTCACTGTCACTGTCACTGTCCTCCCATTTTTCATCGGTTTGCTCGCGGGCCCAGTAACGTCTCCATTTTTGAGACTTGTTGTTACTTTGTTTGGTGTATCGAATACATCACGGGTAGCTTGCCAGGCTTTGCCGAGCAGGCGAGATACTCTCGGTAGCTTGCCGGGTTCTCCGAGAGGGGCGGAGGAATCGAACTCTAGGTAGAAATTAGAAATATACTGAGACCTCCTTATCCCCTCACCTCAGTGTAGTGTTCTGTCGCATGTACTTCTGTTGACACTGTGGCTGGTGACACTTCTCATGACATGTCTTGACTGTCTTCTGCGCAGGACCACAGCCTGTAGTGCCTCCCCCAATGCTGAGGACATGCCACTTCCTTCTGTGAAGGCCTCCGTCACCTCTCCACCTGTCCTGCTCAAGTTCCAGCCTATACACAAACCCAATGATGACTCTGAAAATGATCGTGGCAGTTCAGAGTGCTTATCCCAGAAGAAGAGCACATAACCTTTTATAGGCCATGACTGGAGGAATGAATAAAGTTCTCCGGCAGAGGCTCCCCAGTCTGTGTATGCCCTGGGGCTCTCACTAGCCTTCAAGGCTTGTCAGGTTAGCAAGCCTGACTGGTGGTGGGGTAGGTGCCGCATGTAGAAGAAATGAGAAATTTGGTTCAGTTTGAGTGACTCTGTGGCCCCTTTGGACATCATCTACACCACAGAATTACAAGTACCTTCCTTTCCCTACCCCCCCACATTTACCTGTGACCCTTAAACACAAGCCTTATCTTAGTTCTTGGGTTTAGAAGCCTGGGAATGGTCCTTCTGTGGAGGAAAAGGAGCTGGGGATAGGGGTTGTCAGTTTCCAACTCGACACCTCCCTGATTTCAAAGATGTGACTCATCATCACCTGACGTGCTGACCTTAGAACCTACATGTATGATCAAGTCTTTGCACTCACTGGACATCAGAATATAACCCTGGAGCTGACAGATATGTGACCACTTCCCCCACCTGATCTGAATTGGGACTCGATGTGATGAACCAGGGCTGGAGCGATAGCACAGTGGGTAGGGCATTAGCCTTGCATGCGGCTGACCCAGGTTTGATTCCCAGCATCCCATATGGTCCCCCGAGTACCGCCAGGAGTAATTCCTGAATGCAAAGCCAGGAGCAACCCCTGAGCATTGTCAGGTGTGACCCAAAAAGAAAAAAAGAAAAGTCTTTTGGTGCCGGAGTGGTAGTACAGTGGGTAGGGCGTTTGCCTTGCACGCAGCCAACCTGGGTTTGTTTCCCAGCATCCCATATGGTTCCCTGAGCACCACCAGGAGTGATTCCTGAGTGTAAAGCCAGGAGTAGTTCCTGTGCAATGCTGGGTGTGACCCAAAAAGGGAAAAAAAAAGATGTGATAAACCCAAGCAGGTGGGGGGTGGGGGCCATGTCTCTGCCTTTAAGGTGTTCACATCCCATCCTCCCTGGTTTGTACAGGGTGGAGTTTGGGTGAGGGAGAACTGATACACAGAGCAAACCAATACAGGATTACATGCAAATGGTGATAGGGAGCTGAGGTGGAGACGTGTGTGGGGTTGGTCACATTTCTCTGAAGAGCTGAAACCTAGAGAATGTGAAGGCTCAGCCATGGGGTGAGAAAGGGCAAGGCCAAGTGACTATGAGTGACTGGTGTGGATAGTGATATCTTTTAACAGAGTGGGATGGGGAGGAGGGTAGATATGGTGGTGGCATTTGCTTTGACTACACACTTGACATCAGTGGGTACACAAGTAGATGAGCATACACAGGGATTAGGCTGTGTATGCTCTTAGTAATGAAGATGAAGGAAGAAGCAGAGGATCAGTGAGAATTTTGGATCTTGAGATTTGATGGTGTTGAAGTTTGATCGAACTCGGGTTGGCCATGTTGGCTGCGTGCAAGGCAAATGCCCTACCTGCTGTGCTATCGCTCCTGGGGCTGCTCAAGCAAATCGATGAACAAGGGGAGGACAGTGACAGTGACAGTGAAGTTTGATGATTTTTAATCTTTAAGTTTGATGATATTCTGCGCATGTTGGGGTTGCACAGAGTAACAGAAAGGGAGGTATGCAAATAGATTACAAGTGTGTATATGGTTTTAGATAGAGGGTTTTTTTTTTGTGGACATTACAAGTTTTTGTGCTTGGGTTTCAATTATACAATGATCGAGTACCCATCCCTCCAACAGTGCCCATTCTCCACCCCCAATGATCCCAGTACTCCTCCCACCCCTTCCATCCCCCCATCTCATCCGGCCTCTGTGGCAGGGCATTCCTTTTTGTTCTCTCTCTTCTTTTGGTTGCTGTGGTTTGCAAAAGAGGCACTGAGTGGCAATCATGTTGGAGGTATGTGTTTTTTGTTTGTTTCATTTTGGGGTCAGCTCAGAGGTTAGTCCCGAGGGTGCTTGGGGAACAATATGGGGTGCCAGATAATCAAACCTCAGCCGGCCTTGTGCAAGACCTACCTGCTGCAGCACTGCTGTACTACCGCCCCACCACGGGTATGTGCCTTTTGGCCTTTTGTATGTATGTGGAGGGAGGTCACACCTGGCCCGGTGATGCTCAGGGGTTACCCTCACGCTGCACTCAGGAATCACTCCTGGCGATGTGCGGTAGACCATATGGTGCCAGGAATCAAACATGGGTCAGTCGCGTGTCTTGCAGGTAAACACCCTGCCCGCTGTACTACAGCTCCGGCCCCTGGTATGTGCTTTATGAAAGAGAGCGGGAACGGCAAGAAGCAGCATCTGGGCGGGACAGGTAGGTGACAAGCGCGCGGGAAAACGGAGCCCGGGACGACCGTCGGAGAGCCCAACCGCGCATGCCCGGCCGCCGAGCCGGCCTGCACGTGGCGGCACGGACTACAGTTCCCGGCATGCCACGCGCCGGGCATTCGGGGCGGGCCCGCCGGCCCCGGAAGTAGCCGCGGAGCCCGGCCTGGACGTCGGTGCGGGGCTCGGCCGCAGTCGCTTTTCTTCGTGTTTCTGGTCACACCGCCACCGCCGCCATGGGGAAGCGACAGCACCAGAAGGACAAGATGTAAGTGGAGCCGCAGGTCGTCCACCTGCCCCCGTCCGGTGTCCCGGAGGCCGGCGCCCGTGCCCGGCGCCCCGCGAGCCTCGTCCGCGCCCGCACCCACCCGCCCTGCCCGCCCGCCTCCCCCGGTGCGGGCCCGGCCGCCCGCGCCCCCGCGCCGCCTCCGACCCCCGCGGCTTGCCCCGGGCCAGCCGGACCCTCGCGGCTTGCCTCGGGCCAGCCGTCAACTTCCCGGGGGGGTCCCGCGACCTGCGAGCGGCCGGGACGGCGGGCTGTGTGGGCTCGGACTCTGGCCGCCTTTGGGGCCCGCCCGCCCCCGGCAGGGGTCTGGAGAGAAGGCCGGTAACGTCCACGTCGCTGAACCTTCTGATCAGCCTTCCAGTTTCTTTTTCTTTTTCCTTTAGTTGAATCACCGTGAGATGCGTTGCAAAGTTGTTCATGCTTGGGCTTCCGTCATACAACGTTCCCACACCCATCCCTTCGCCAGTGCACGTTTTCCCCACTTCCACCACCCCCTCAGCCTGTCCTTAGGACACACACACCTCCCTCTCCCTCTTCCCTTTACCCACGGTGGTTCTGCAGAGTTACTGAAAAGTTAATCGAGTATGTCGCTTTACCTCCTTCCTACACCCAGTTCTTTTCTGGAGAACTAGAGAAATCTAGCTATCTCTCAGACCGTCATTCATCCTCTTCGTGGTCCCTTCTCTGTCCTGACTGTACTCCCCCTTCCTCTTTGTGACAAGCTTCCTACCATGGACCAGTCCTCCTGGCTCTCATTTCTCCTGTCTTTGGGTCTTGGTCTCATATTATGTTTTCTTTCTTTTCTTTTCTTTTTTTAATATATATTCCGCAAACGAGTGCGATCATTCTATGTCCCCCTCCCTCTGGTTCATTTCACTCAGCATGATACTCTTCATAGCCATCCATACATAAGCAAATTTCATGACTTCAGTTTTCCTAATGGCAGTAGAGTATTCCATTGCATAGAAGTTACCGTATTGTTTCTTTATCCGCTCATCTGTTCTCAGGCACTATTCTAGAATCTGGAAACAACCACAAAAGTAAAGCCAAACAAGGACTTAAAACTTTTATTTATTTAACTTTTGCCTCAAGACTTTTATTATTGGGCCAGAGCAATAGTACAGCAGGTAGGGCATATGCCTTGCCTGCGGCCAACCCGGGTTCAATCCCTGGCATTCCATATGGTCCCCTGAGCACCAACAGGAGTAATTCTTGAGTGCAGAGCCAGGAGTGGCCCCTGAGCGTTGCCGGGTGTGACACAAAAAGGAAAAAAAATAGACTTATTATTTACCCATAATTCCCTCCCCTTTATGGTTGCAATGCCACTGTTGCATTCCTGGCTGTGGTACCCTCGGGGGTGATATGTCAGGTTGTGGCTCTCAGATGGGGCATTAGTGCCTGCTACGGTTTGTGCTCCTTTAGTTGTGTTGGTAGACATACTTCTGAGGTGCTGTGGGGATCACATCCTTCGTTGGGCGTACCAGTTGTGGCTGTGGTCTTACAACATTCGGGGTGCTGAACTGGGCCTCCTTTCCAGCCCCGGTGCTTGCACATCACTCACCGGGGGTTCACACACACCTGGTGGCTGCAGTAAAGCCGGAAAAGGCTTGTGGCCCAAGGGCTCCCAGATGCCAGTGCTGCCAGGACTGAGCTTGGTGGCCCGTGCCTCACAACTCAGCTGCAGGCGTGCTTGTTTGATCCCTCCGCCCGCAGGTCTTCACTTAGATCTTTGAATGGTTCTTCTAAGTTCACTTTATTTTCTCCAGAGGAAAGTCGGGTGATTCTTGGTTTGGTTTGGCTTGGGTTTCGGTTTTCGGACCACACCTGGAGGTGCTCAGGGATTACTCCTGAAGGGCTCGACAGAATCAGGGTCAGCTGCATTCAAAGGTAGCGCCACACCTGCTGTACTCTCTCTCCAAGCCCCATAGCAGGACGATTTGTATTTGTTTTGTAGTTTGTGTAGACCCATATTCTGTTGTGGGCATTACTATATACCTGATGCGTAGATTTGGGGGTGGACGGATGGCCCACATCTGAGGATGCTCAGGGGCCACTGGCTCTGTGCTCAGGGTCATCCTGGCAGTACCTGGGGACAGTATGTAGTGCTGGGCATATCCAGTTGGTCATGTACAAACACCTCACCACACCTCATCTTGTATCATCTCTTTGGTCCAGTAGGTACTTTTCTGTGGGTAAGGGAGGGTGCCAGGGATCAATCCTAAGCCCTCAGACATGCAGAATATGTGTTCTCCCGCTGGACTGCCACATATTCCTAGCCATAGAGTAGGTTTTAAATAATATATATATTTTTAAATTTTGGGGTCACACCCAGTGATGCACAGGGGTTACTCCTGGCTCTGCACTCAGGAATTATTCCTGGTGGTGCTCAAGGGACCATATGGGATGCTGGGAATTGAACCCAGGTCGGCTGCCTGCAAGGCAAACGTCCTACCCACTGTGCTATCGCTCCAGCCCCAAATAATAGTTTCTGAATGAAAAAATATCTCAGTCATCCACTACTTTCTGAGATTGTGTCCTTGTTGTAAAGGGGATGGTAGTAAGATTCTTTCTTTCCTTCAGGTATATTACCTGTGCTGAGTACACTCACTTTTATGGAGGCAAGAAGCCAGGTAAGGAATGAAATGTTTTCCCCCTTGGATTGTGGGTGTGCACATGTGTATTTCGCTTATTTCAGGAAAGATGCTCTCACTATGTAGCAAGACTGTAAAAATTTAATAAGAGCATAGAAAATGTAGACCAGTGGGCTGTCGATCCAGTTTACAGAAGAGGAAACAGATGCATGAAATAGTGCATGCAATTACACTCATGAAAAAGTTCAGTCTGGGTGGTGATTTGGGGAGAGGGCGTTGGGGGCCATACTGGCATTACTTAGTGACTCCTGGTGCTGGAATTTGTTTGTGAGCCAAATCTGGCAATACCAGGGTTTATTCCTGGCCCTGTGCTCAGGAATTACTCCTGGTGGGGCTTGGGGTACCATATGGGATGCTGGGGATTGAGCCTGGGTCAGCCATGTGCAAGGCAAATGCCCTACTGGCTATACTATTTTTTGCTCTGGCCCATGGCACCAGGTTTTAAGACAAAGACCTTAGTCCTCTTTTATCTCTGGCTCTAGCCAACATTTTTTTTTGTTTTTGTTTTTGGGGCACACTTGGTGATTCTCAGGGCTTACTCTGGTTCTTTGCTCAGGGATCACTCCTGGTGTGCTTGGGGGACCATATGGGATTTCGAGAATCTAACCCAGATAGACATGCGCAAGGCAATGTCTAAACCCGCTTGCTGTATTATTGCTCTGGCTCTTCCTACAATTTTTTTTTGGTTTGTTTTTAATTTCTGGGTCACACCTGTCGGTGCTCAGGGATCACTCCTGTCAGGGTTTGGGGGATCATACATGGTGACAGGGATCCAACCCAGATGGCTGCATGCAGGTCAAGTACTCTGCTCTCTGTATCTCCAGCCCCCTTGTCTACATTTTTAAAACTCACACCATGATGTTGGAGAGAGCATAAGGCTTAAGGTGCTTGTGGCCAACCTTGGTTTGGTCTCCACTATTGCATATGGTTTCCTGAGCACAGAGCTGGGAGTAGCCCCCAAGCATTGTTATGTGTGGCCCCAAAACTACTCCCTCCAAGAAGATAGTTAAAATGACATTTTTCCCCTATCGTGTTAAGAAGAACGTAAAGAATGGTAATACCCAAAGCTGTTAAAGCTGTAGAAAAAAGAGCAGCATCATAATTGCTGTTGGGAGTACCAGGGACTTGGCCTGAGGGCCACGGACTGTGGGGGCTGCAGAGGACGCAGGCCACAGTGGCCCTCGTGGGTGCCTTACCCTCAGCCTTTGCCTGGTGTGTTTGGGTTCCACTTGTTGAGGTTCTTCATCCACAATGATAGTTTCACACACACACACACACACACACACATATATCTACTTTTTTTGAAGATGTCACTGTCATCTCTTTACGTTTTAAACAGATATCCCACAAACGAATTTTCGTCGTTTGCCATTTGATCACTGCAGGTAAGACTGTTCATTTTCTCCTCCTGTCTTTTCTGGATCACACCCAGCAATGCTCATGCACTCAGGAATTACTCCTTTACTCCTGGCGGTGCTCGGGGGACCATATGGGATGCTGGGAATCAAACCTGGGTCGACCTCAGGTCTGCATGCAAGGCAAACGCCCAACCCGCTGTGCTATCGCTCCAGCCCCCTGTCTTTTTCTGATGATCAGTTACTTGACCGTGAATCCCACCCTTAGAGACGTGGATCCTGCCTTTGTCCCCCGCTGACTTACCCCAGACTGGGAGAAGGTGGTCCCAGTGATAGCAGCTATGAGGCTCTGCTCCTCCTGAGTGTGGGTCCCCCAGCAGCGTCTGTCTCCCCTCCAACGGGGCTCTCTGTCGAGTCTGGTGGAGGGAGGTGAAGCTTACCTCGCCGAGTTCCGTCCGTCAGGGCCTGGCCCTAGGCCTTTCACTTTTTTCTTTCAGTCTAGGGTCAGGCTACGAGTGGCAAAGCTCTCAGTGACCTAAAAATCTTGATGATGGCAGGTCAGCCCGATGCCTAGGGCAGTGAGAGGGGGAAGCAGGGCTGAGCGCCGGAAGGCCCCCGGTGCCCACTCAGCTGGGTGGGGACTTAGGGAGGTGAGCTAGAGCCCCAGCCCTTTCTCGTGTGGCTTGCTCGCCCGCCTCGTTCAGAGCAGGCGGGATTGGCTTTAGGGAAATGAACCCTTCTGGGTTCCAACCCCTGCAGGTCTCTGGCCTGTCTCTTGGGGTAGAATGTGCCTCTTCAGGCTGCATTTGAGTGAAGATACATGCAGTGTCCTGTTGCTTGGGGTTTGTTTTGGTGTCTGGCCTGGTTTCTGGGGGCCACGGAGGTCACTCAGTTTTGGTTGCTCAGATCTTGAGGACTGACCCAATCGACCCCTTGTGAACTGATGTATAAGCAAGCCAGGTCAGCTGAGCCCTTGATGGCTAGTAATGGAAACCCCAGCAAGAAAAAAGGCTGCTAGGGGCCGGAGAGATAGTGCAGCAGGAAGGCGCTTGCCTTGTGTGTGGCTGACATGGGCTTGATACCTGAGACCTCATAGGGTTCCGAAGCCCACCAGGAGGGACCCCTCGGCTTAGAGCTAGGGATCCATAGCACAGCTGGGGGTGGCTCAAAAAACCCAAGAGATGGGGGAGGGGAGAGGGAGAGAGCAGAGCAGGAGGGAGGGAGGGAAGGAGCTTGAGGGCACCTGCTGGTTGGTCCAGACATTGCTCTCGCTGGGCAGACCTGTCCTCAGGTGGCAAGTGGCACATGCGTGGCAGTGTGGACTGAGGGAGGCCCCTCTTCTCCCACATCTGTGGGTCAGAATGTCTCCAGGGCTCCCCACTCTCAGGTCTGCACCGAGTCCTAAGTCCCAGACCACGCATGGAAATGTGAGGGGGGCCCTGAGGTTCCCTCTGTCGTTGACCATAGCCCACCGGTCTCGGAGGGGCTGGCAGGGTGAGAGGGGTGTGGCTTGCCCATGCCTGCTGTGAGCTGCAGGGAAGCAGATGCCAGTCCTGCTTCCCAGAGGCCACTCCAGGCCCCCTCCTGGGACCGATCTTCTATGCGCTCTGACATGCCGAAGCCGAGGCCCTGACCCCTCAGCACTTCCGGTGTGTGTGGGGGGATGATCCTTGCCTCACTGTCTTGGCTTGTGCTGGGAGCTTCTGAGGGACAGAGTGTGGGGGCCAGCAAATTATGCAGTGGGGGGGATTGGAGGAGGGAGGAGGAACCTGTCCATGGCCTGGCCAGCCCCTGTGTTAGAGCTTGTCTGTGCGCTGACCAGGAGTAACCCATATCTTCTCTTTCAGTCTCTCTCTGCAGCCCTTTACCTACCCCGTGTGCACCCCGGAGGGCGTTGTCTTTGACTTGCTGTGAGTTTTAGCTTTCTCCCGACTTTGGATTTAACTAGGGGGTGAGGGGGCTTGGGCTTGTGGATTTGCTGCTGCTGTTGTGTATCATCTTGGAAGTGAAGTCAGGGCCTCACACATATAAGGCAAGCTGAGCTGCATCCCTCACCCAAGTGTTGAATTTGAGACATAGCCAACTTCTGTCATTTTCTCATGTTCGATTCATTTTAGAAAATTGGGAAAATGCTTCCCAGTAAAAGGACAATTTATCAGGGGATACAGCTCAGCGGTAGAGCACATACTTTGCCAGTGTGAGATGCCCTACCCATTGTACTGTCTCTCTGGCCCCAGAAAGTATAATTTTTGTGTGTGTGTGTGTGTGTGTGTGTGTGTGTGTGTGTGGCTTTTTGGGTCACATCCAGTGATGCTCTGGGGTTACTCCTGGCTCTGCACTCAGGAATCACTCCTGGCAGTGCCCAGGGATCCATATGGGATGCCAGAGATCGAACTCGAGTTGGCTGTGTGCAAGGCAAATGCCTTCCATGCTGTCCTATTGCTCCGGCCCCAGAAAGTATAATTTTTTGATGCTTATTCAATGTTTTATTGTATAGATATATCAACACATATGTCCATTCATTTCAATGGAAGTTTATGTTGTTTACAATAACTGCAATTAAAACCCTTTGTATACCTTTTTTGATTTTTTGGGGGGCGTCCCACCCTATGGTGTTCAGGGCATACCCCTGGCTCTGAGCTCGGGACCACTCCTAGTGGGGCTCGGGGCAATATGGGGTGCTGGAATGGACTCCGGGTCAGCCACGCACAAGGCAAGTTCCCAGTGCTGTACTGTTGCTCCGGCTCCCCTCTGTGTGCCTTGAACCCTGCTTCCAGAACTCTCTCCCATGGTTTTGTGCAGGCAGGTGCTGCCCTCCTCTGCAGGCGGTGCAGCTGTGGGAGACACCAGCTGGGTCCACCCACACTTACCCTTCATTCTTTCCCAACTATAGGAACATTGTCCCTTGGCTTAAGAAGTATGGGACCAACCCCAGCAACGGCGAGGTAGGCGGCTGTGTGGGACTGGGAGTGGTGCACCCATGATGTCCTGGTCTTCCTTTTCTTCTGTGGTTTCACGGCCTTCAGGGGGCATTGTGAGGGGCCTCGGCTCACTCCCCTTCCCAGCCTGTTCCCTTCTGGAAATGTTCCCCATGTATGCAGGGTATATCCCCTCCTGCCAGGGATATGCTCATCCTGGCGAATCCCGTTGCAGTGTGCTTCCTGTGCCATGCTCTGTGTGTGCGTGCATGTGTGTGTGTGTGTGATCAGACACATCTGTGTGTGTGTGTGCGTGTGTGACCAGACACATTTCGTTGAACATTTGGTGCTCATCGGGTTGTGCTTTCACGTGTGTTTGGGGATCCCACTGTTGAGTTACAGGGCTGGCACACTGTCTGGTTCCGTGTTGCTGGCAGCTGCGCTCCTGGCTACAGTGCCCGTCCATCTTCTTGTTTGTGGTGCTCCCTGCCCTGCTCCACTGCTCTCACACCCCCAGAGGCCCTGACAGCAGAGATGCGTGAACTGCTCGCCATGAGCTGGTGGTGCCGGGGGTCTGGCTCTGACCTTGTGCCTGTTAGGCTGCACGGGATTGCGTTATTCAATCAGGCATTTCTGCCCCGCAGCCTTCCCTGGGTGCTCAGAGGCCTTCCCTGTCCAGGCTCGGGGTTGTGCTCTGGGCCCAGGTCAGCATTCAGGGCTGTTCCTCTGTCCATAGTTGCAGCAGCTTGGATGGCCGTAGACTCCTTCCACTTGGCCTGTTTTACAGAGTCAGTCTCAGCGTTGCCTTGTGCTGGTCACTCATTTGTTAGTTTTCATGCTGAATTATGCTTCTTCCAGAAACTGGATGGGAGGTCTCTGATCAAGTTGAACTTTAAGAAGAACAGTGAAGGTGAGTGGGGTCCTGTACTGCCGCCTCTGGGTTGGCGCTCTCTCCAGCTGCTCCCCAGGGCCAGGCATCACTTTCTTGTTTTGGTTTGGGTGTGGTGCTTGGGACCAGGTGGCACCAGGGGTGCAGCCTGCGGTTCCCCCAGCCAAGCACACGCTGCCACCCTCTGAGCCTCTCCCTGGCCCTTTCTGACCAGTCTTACACTCTTTGGTTGGTTTGGGGACCATACCTGTCTGTACTCAGGGCTTACTCCTCACTCTGCTCAGAGATCACTCCTGGAGGTGCACAGGGGACTCAGTGGGGTATCAGGGATTGAACCTGGACTGGCTGCTTGCAAGGCAAATGCCCTCCCCAGCTGTACTATCACTCCAACCCCCCCAGTCTTTGTACTTAATTTCACTTTCACTTAATTTCACTTTGTACTTAATTTCACTTTCTCAAAGGTGTCACTTTTGGGCGATGGGATGGGGCCTCCTAAGTGGTCCCCAGGCATCCGAGGAGCTCTTCTCAGCAATACGGGGCTGACCGGGCTGGCTGACCTGGCTGTCCTGTGGTTTTGGGGTCACCAGTGTTACCATGGCAGGCTCGGGGTCTCCAGCGTGTTCCCCAATCGTTGTGATTCTCTGCCCAGTTCTGTAATTTCCTTTGAAGTCCAGGTAGGTTAAAGCTGAGGTTTTTGGGGCTGGAGCAATGGCACAGTGGGTGAGGCGTTTGCCTTGCACGTGGCTGATCCGGGTTCGATTCCCGGTGTCCCATATGATCCCCTAAGCACCCCGCTAGGAGTGATTTTTGAGTGCAGAGCCAGGAGTAACCCCTGAGCATCGGCTGGGTGTGACCCAAAAAGAAAAACAAAGGCTGGGGTTTGGACACTTCTTCCCACCGAGGTAAGGGGGCCTTAGACCTTGTGGATCCTGCCTTTGTGAATACGCCAGGCCTGTGTATGGGGATTTGGCTGCTTTGTGTCTCTGCTCCTCGTGGAGGAAAAAACGTCTGGTGAGACCCAGAGGGTGGCCAGAGAAGTGGGGTGGGGTGTGGTCTGGCCCATGGGGCCAGAGTGATACGGGGGTAGGACACTTGCTTGCACATGGTTAACCCAGGTTCTGGCCCCAGCTCCCTGAGCTCACCAGGAGCGATCCCTGAGCATCACTGGCTGCGGCTCAAAAACAAAAACAAGGAAAAAGAAAGGAGGAGGCCTAGCCCAGCCCTGGGCCCCCTGCTCTTGGTTCCTGTGCTCACTCCACTCTTCTCAACGACCAGATGCCTGAGCTAAGGCGGCCCGGCAGTGCTGTCCTGGCCTGGCTCTGGGTCTGGTGTGGCGTGCCTGGCCCACAGTCATGCTGCGTGTCCAGGAATGAGGGAGTGGGTGGAAATGCAGCAGCTCCCTGGACAGACTGGGCGCAGGCGCTGGCATCACCCTGGTCAGATGTCACAGTGGGTCTCTCCCGGCAGGTGCTCCCAGAAGTGCTGCCCCACACAGGGAGCTGAGGGGGCCGTGTCCCTGGAAAGGAAGGCAGCTCTGAGGGGTGCCAGGGAGAAGCTGGGACAGAGTGAAGCAGGGAGTGGGGGGAGACGCCGGACTGGCGTGAGGGAGACGGGTTCCGGCCCAGCTCTGGTGGGTGCGACCCCAAAGCCAGAACACATTTTGTAAGAAGGAACTAAAGCAGGGAGGGCGTCACAGTGAGCCTTGCTGACAGGGTTGCGGGGGAGGAAGGGGAAGCTCCTCGGAGCCCTAGGCCTGTCCAGCATGATAAGGACTGTCCAGTGCCCCGAGCCTGTGAGTGAGTGGGCGGTGGGAATGAGGGCTTGGGCAGGAGGTCGTCCAGGGCTGTGCTGCGCAGGACCACCCCAGGGGGCGAGGGGCTGACTGACTTTGCCAATTTGGAAACACCTCGACCTAGTCGCATTCACCATGTTTTGGTTTGGTTTGGCTTTTGACTAGAGGGAACGAAGGGCGGGCGAGAGTGGAGAATCTGCGCATCGCCCTCCCCTGCCCACGACCTGTTCCCATCCGCGCCCACTCACCGTCTGTCTGATCTCATCTCACGCCCACTCCACGCCGCTGACAAAACTTGGATGCAAATTTCAGATGTTGCATCATTTCATGCTCAAGTATTTCAGTGTGCATTCCAGAGAGAGAAGGACTATAGGAGTGATGAGTAGTCAGCACACCTGAAAAATTATTATTTCGCCAGGGGCAGTTTTCAGAACATTCTCATAAATACTTTTTAAAAAGTTTTCCAGTCATGATTGATTTCATTTGGGGAGAGTGTTTGGGGCCACATCTGTGCCAGGGATTGAACCTGGCTTGGCTGCGTGTAAGGGAAGTGGCTGCTCGCTGTACAGTCTCTCTCGTCCCCAAATTGTGATTTTGAAGAAAGTCCCCATTAATGTGGGCGGTGTCTCTCAGGGTCTCCTCCCCCTGCTGAGACGCAGCAGGATCTGGCAGTAATGGGAGGGGCCTGAGCCCTGGCAGCCAGGTGAGCACAGTCACTGGCGTGAGGTGGAGAGCACAGCTGAGGCCAGGTGGGTCTAAGCTTCCTCACCGGGAGCCTTGTCGGAGCCATTTTTACAGAGTCCTGGCATATGGCATATAAAACAGATCTTGAAAACCAACATTGACAGAAACTAAACCATAAAGAAATATATTTTTTCTGTTGTTCTGTTTTTGGGCCACACTAGTGGTACTCAGGGCTTCCTCTTAGCTCTGTGCTCAGGAATCACTCCTGGTTGATCTTGAGGCAGTCTTGGGTACTGGTGATTGAACCCAATCGACTGTGTGCAGGACAAGTGCCCTACTTGCTGTGCTATCAAACCCCAAGAAATATGTCTTAAACAGATTTGGGGGGGGGGAGTTGCGGGGACACACCTGGCAGTGCTCAGGGATTACTCCTGGCTCTGCACTCTGGTGCTTCCTGTGCTTGGGGACCATATGGGATGCTGGGGATCAGGCTCGGGTCGGCTGCATGTGAGGTAAGCGCTCGACCCTCTGTGCTGTTGCTCCGGCCCCTTAAACGGAATGGAAACGTTTTCCGCTGCCCCCAGATTCATTCTGGGGCTGTGACCCTCCCAGTGTAAGCAGCTGGGGGCGGGCGAGGCCGGGGGCAGAGTCTCCCAGTGGATGGCCTGTCACCGCCCCCGCTGCTTTCCTCCCTGGGCCTGGCTCCCGCTCCAAGCACCACCCCCCCCATGTGTCTCGTCTGCAGGTAAGTACCACTGCCCGGTGCTCTTCACAGTGTTCACCAACAACACGCACATTGTGGCCGTGAAGACCACCGGTAACGTCTACGCCTACGAGGTGGGTCCTCTGGAGTTCTGGCCCCCACATCCTCCACATTTCTTTGGGAGCCACACTCAGCAATGCTCAGGGCTTACTCCTGGCTCTGTGCTCAGGGGTCATACCTGGAGGGTTTAGGGGACAACGTGAGGTGCCGGGGATGAACCTGGGCTGGTGGTATGTAAGGCGAAGGCCCTGCCCACTGTCATGTCACTCCCACCCCATCCTTCCAGTGCTGAGGATCGAACCCAGGGCCTCACACGTGAAAGGTCTGAGCTCTGCATCTCCCCAGTTCGCATTCCCAGTGCTGGGTGAGGGACCTGTTCTCTCAGGCCAGAGCTGCAGGGGCGCTCAGGCCCCGCTTGTGAAGGAGCCCCCAGAGGGACCGTGGGGGGAGCCCTGGTGTGCAGGCAGGTGGGCAGATGTTTCTGCAGTGTTCTTTGGCTGAGAAGGTGGAACTGGAACCTGGGGGCTCAGTGGACACCTCCCACCCCACGGGCTGGACACTGCTCAACGGGACCATTTCCTCCTGCCCTTCCCCCGGCGGGAGGCAAACACGGGCTCAGTCTGCCCGGGCCAGGGCTGACCACGCTGCCTCCTGACACAGGCAGTGGAGCAGCTCAATATCAAGGCCAAGAACTTCCGAGACCTGCTCACGGATGAGCCCTTCACCCGTCAGGACCTCATCACCCTGCAGGTAGCACCTGCTCCCAGACCCCGCCCCACCCCAGGGTGCCCGGCACCTCCTGGCCTGCATCTCTGCTGCCGGCAGTGTCAACCCCCTCTGTGACGCTGCCAGTTTTCAGGTCCTTCGTGTTAGTGCTCAGGAGCTGCTCTTGGCTTGGTGCTCAGGAAGGGTGGGTCTCCCCTGGGGCCTTGCATACCAGGGTGGACCTGAGCTGCACACAGGCCTGACCTCTAGCCCATTGAGCTAGGTCCCACATCCCTTGCTGAAATGCCCTCATCTGTGAGACTGCCAGCTTGCCTCTCACACACCCTCTCTGAGCTAGTGTGTACCCCACATCCAGCACGGGGCTCCCTGGTGCGCATCCTTGAATGAGTTAATTCAAAACACAGACCTGGGAAATTGGGGGCTGAGTGAACTGGGCCCTGCCCTCCCGTGGTTTGTCCTCTCTAATCCGAGGGCAGCACCCAGACCTGCCCATGGGGCTCCCCTTTCTCAGGCCACAGCACCGAGAGCTCCCCTGGTGCTGCCCTCACCCTGCCCAGCTCTGCCATCCTGACCTGTCCCCTCTGTGCCCCAGGTCTTTATGCAGCTGCTGGAAGCGCACCTCTTCTGTTTTGTTCTTTCTCACAGGACCCCACCAATCTGGACAAGTTCAATGTCTCCAACTTTTATCATGTTAAGAACAACATGAAAATAATCGATCCGGGTAAGTCTATCCAGCAGGGCGGGTGTGAGTGCCAGTGCAGACCTTGGCTGGCCTGTGCCAGTGTCTCCTGTGCTGAGGTCAGTAGGACCCGTGTCCGTAGGACCTGCACCTATGGGTGCCCGCAGCCCTGAGCGGGGAGGCCTGGCTGCTGCCTCTGCCCCCAGCGACAGCCCTAGGACCCTAGGTGTCAGTGGGTGCCGCCAGCCCTGCACCCTGCTCCTAGGAGTTGTCTGTCCTCGCTGCAGGGGTGAGGCTGCTGTGGTGCTTGCGGCCTGTGCACCGGCTCAGGCCCCTGTGGTTTTGCAGATGAAGAAAAGGCCAGACAGGACCCATCTTACTACTTGAAAAACACAAACACCGAGACCCGAGAGACGCTGCAGGAGCTCTACAAGGAGTTCAAGGGGGACGAGGTGCTGGCGGCCACCATGAAGGTGCCCGAGAAGAAGAAGGTGGACAAGCTTAACGCTGTGAGTAGATGGATGCTGTTGAATGGTCGTGGGGCAGGATTGGGGGGCCCTGGGGGGGATTTGGGTGTCTTGGGCCACACTCAGTGGTGCTCAGGCTGGTCAGGGTTAGGATTAGGCTCTCCCAGGTCAGGGCCACGTCCCTGGAGGAGGGGTCACTAGTGGGCCTGGGCTTTGTGCAGCGCTGACGGCCATGGCTTTGTTGCAGGCCCACTACTCCACGGGCAAGGTCAGCGCCTCCTTCACCTCCACTGCCATGGTTCCGGAGACCACGCATGAAGCAGGTAGTTGCCCTGCCCCCGAGGGGAAGTCCAGGCATGCGTGGGCTGGTTTCAGGGTGGGGGGTTCAGGAGTGAGGGCAAGGATGCCCTGTGATCATGGTTGGCCTCCTGACTTCCGGCATCTTCCCCTTCACTGCTGGCCCCTGACCCCCACCTCCAGCCCAAGCCGGGGGCGGCCGAGGCTCAGTGCCGAGTGCATAAGGTGCACACAGAGCGGGTCTGTTTGCAGCCGCCATCGACGAGGACGTGCTCCGCTACCAGTTCGTGAAGAAGAAGGGTTACGTGCGGCTGCACACCAACCGGGGAGACCTCAACCTGGAGCTGCACTGTGACATGGTGGGTGCCCTCCCCTCTGCACCCCTCCCCTGGAGGCTGCCCCATCCTGTCGGCCGTGCAGCCTGGGGGGTATTGGTGACCCTCCCACTGGCCACTCCATGCCTCATGGAGGAATCCGGGCAATTTTGCAGACGCCAAAGACCTGTGAAAACTTCATCAGACTCTGCAAAAAGCAGTATTACGATGGCACCATCTTCCACCGATCCATCCGGAACTTTGTGGTGAGTGACAGGAGCCAGTGCCGTTGAGACACCGCCACTGGGAATTGGGGAAATGTGCTTGGCATGGTACCTGCGGGCTGACCGCTCATGTCCCCACTGTGGTCACGCTGGGCTTGTGCAGTGTGGCCTGAGTGGGCCCTGTTCTCTGCAGAGCAGACACGTGGCGGGCGGGGGGTGGGACTGTGGGCACGGTTTGTTCACTGCTTTTTGTTCCTGCAGATCCAGGGTGGTGACCCCACTGGCACGGGCACGGGTAGGTGCCACTCCAAGGAGTGGGGTAGAGACGGGCCAGCTGGGGTGCTGCTGTGAATTATGGGTAGCTTGATCAGATCCCTGTTTGGGGCCCAGCCCCCATCCCCTGGGGGCTTGGGGAAGAGTCCATTCAGCACTGCCCCCTGGTCAGCACTGCATGACCAGGTTCAGATTAGGGATTTACCTGGTGCTGCTGGGCGTGTGCGGCCCCCCCAGCCCTGCTCTCCCTCCCTCCCAGGCGGGGAATCCTACTGGGGAAAACCCTTCCGAGACGAGTTCCGGCCCAACCTCTCCCACACGGGCCGCGGAATCCTGAGCATGGCCAACTCGGGGCCCAACACCAACAAGTCCCAGTTGTAAGTCCTTCGGCCTCTGCGGGCGACGCTTCCACCCAGACCCACTCCGGGAGTCCCGTAGGGAGACCTGCCAAGCATGACCAGGCTCTCCTGCTGAGCCTTCACCCCACTTCTGTACCAGATGTGGCTAAGTCTGTTTGGCCATGTCGGTGTGCTCGGGCCCCACTCCTGGCATTGCTTGGGGACCACATGTGGTGCTGGGTTGGGGTCTCCACTTACACGCTTGGAGTTTTCTTTGCTCCCCTTCCTGCTGCTGCCTCCTTCCTTCCAGTCCCAAGTCCTAGGTCCTTCGGTGGGCCCTCGCCCTGCCTCCAGAGCTCACGAGAGCCCCCCAGCCCCGCCCCCCCCGGGTTTTGGAGCCAAGACTCAGAGCAGCCAGGCTGGGGGCGGATCTGGCCATGGGTGAGGGCCACCTCCCCTGGGTTCCTGACTCGCCTCTCTCCTTCCAGCTTCATCACCTTCCGCTCCTGCGCCTACCTGGACAAGAAGCACACCATCTTCGGGCGGTGAGGAGCCTGTGCTCGCGGAGGCCGGGTGGGAGGGCCTCCCCAGACCTTCATGTTCAGGGGATCGGGCCTCACAGGGTTAGCACACCCTGGCGTTCTCACCATCCTTGTCCACACGAAGGCCTTTCTCTGTCTGCCTCCTGGTAGGAAGCGTTTCTGGCAGCGTGGACAGAGTGGGAGGCTGAGGCCCCTTAAAGCTTGCCCGTCGGTGCTGACCTTGTCCCCGGGGGCTTGCCTGTTCCCACTGGGCCTTCCCTGCCCGTGCCCCTCGCTGTGGGTGGCGCCTTTCTGGGCCAGATGCCCAGGGCCCTTCCTTGGCTAATTCCCAGCAGTGGGGGGTGCCCCTTGCCCCCAGCATGTTCACAGGTGCCCTGACCTTCTGCTGCAGGGTTGTTGGGGGCTTTGACACGCTGACAGCCATGGAGAATGTGGAGAGTGACCCCAAAACTGACCGTCCTAAGGTATGTGCCCCAGGAGCAGAGGGCCAGGTGCAGGGTGGAGGGTGCAGCCATGGCCTCACCCCTCCATTCCCCATTGCAGGAGGAGATCCGCATCGATGCCACCACCGTGTTTGTGGATCCCTATGAAGAGGCTGACGCGCAGGTGAGGGGGCCCCCTGGGAGGGCGGCTTGGTGGCCCTGCTGGCTCGGGGGTTCAGTCATCACTGCGCCCCTCCCCCCAGATCGCTGAGGAGCGAAAGAAGACAGAGGTCAAGGAGGAGGCTCCAGAGAGCACAGCCAAGCCCAGCCCATCCACATCAGCGAGCCAGGGCCCCCAGACCTACCGCCAGGGGGTGGGCAAGTACATCAACCCGGCAGTCACGTGAGTGCGGGGCTGCCCTGGGGCAGGGCGCAGTGAGCAGGGGGATCCACCGGGACATTCAGCTGCGGCTTCTTTGCCACCTTAGGAAGCGGGTAGCAGAGGAAGAGCTGTCCACCAGTGCGGGGGTCTCAGCAGCCAAGAAGAAGCCCAGCCGGGGGTTTGGAGACTTCAGCTCCTGGTAGCAGGCGCTGCCCTGCATCTCAGGGAAGACCTGGGACAGGCGCTTCTCCGCGTGGACTGAGATTGAATAAACTCAGATCTTTCCTGCCAGCAGCCCACTGGCCTCCCCAGCCATGTCCTGGACCCCCAGTCCCAGGGTCTGGCCCACAGAACAGCTGTCAGGAAGGGGGATATCATTCCCGACCCAGTGTTGATCACAGGGTCTCACGGAGCTTGGGGTCATTCTCATGCCCCTGACCTTGAGCCTGGGACAGCAGGGTTGGGGTTTCTGATACGAGGGGTTGTGAGACCCTGGATGAAAAAGTCTTGCTGGGGTGCCCAATACCACCCCCCAGGATGCCCAGGGTCTGCAGAGGGCGCTGAGAAGATGCTGAGGGCCCAGGGACTCGGCACTCCCACTCTCTAGGGCGTCTGGACCCTGTAATGGATCTTTTTTAGATTTGTACTCGCACCACTTCTTGCTTTCTGGCCTAGTCTGGCTTCCAGCTCCTGAGTGGGACAGTGCTGCCTCCATTCCCCAAAGTGCCTCTGCAGAAGCTGCCTCCCCTCGGACCCTCAGCCCCCACACTCGCAGCCTGGCTCTTCTCTCGCCCAAAGCACACCTCTTCCAGTCTGTCTTCCCTTCATCCCTGATGCTTAGCCCCGCCTGTGCTCGCCGCCGTGGACTTGGCCGCCTGGAATTGACCGTCTCATGTTCTCGCCAGACTTTTGCCTCCACCTCTTCCCCACTCCCCTGTGCCAGGCAGGTTCCATGTGCCTGGTGCACACAGGCGAGAGGTGGGCCTGGGCCTCTCTGTGGGAGCAGAGTCTGGCCCACACAGGGAACAGCTGGAAGCTTTATTTCCAGGCCTCCTTGACACAGGGGTGGGCACAGGGAGTTCGGGGGAGGGATGGTGGCCACCCATCTGCTGTCCCACCTGCCCCAAAGGGAGACTCCAGAGCCTTGGAGTCACCACAGTACGACAGACTCACCCAGAGCTCCGGACAAGTGGGGGCCAACAGTCCCTTGAAGTTTAAATTGTAAATTTAAAACTGGTTGGATTTTGTTCAGGACCTGCTGAGGTCATCAGGTAAATTAAAGGAATTTTGAAAAATTCCCATTTCCAGTCTAATATCTGACATATGCCATCAAGAATAAGCAGTAAAGGTATAAAAATACTGTATGGGAATATATAAAACGCAGCCACGCCATACCATGCTTCGGAAGTAAGTGGCTGCGCCAAGGGTACCACCCAGGGAAGACACACACCGGGGATCCTGGCTTCATCCTGACTGCGAGGAAGAATGTCAAGTTAAAGTAAACAAAAGTCCCGGGATGCCGTGGGTGGGTGGGTGGGTGGGTGGCACGTTCCCGTACCCGCCAGCGCCGGGGAGGCCCTCGGGAATACTCCCTTCAGCCAGCTCAGTTCATTTGGTTTGAAAAGGAGTTTGGGTTATGCAGAACAACCAAAGAGGAACGAAAGTTTTGTTGCTATCGATTATAAAAGAAATACAAAATAAGTCAGAAAACCACTTGTAAAAATTTGTCAATGCCATCACAAAAGACAATACAAAAACCAAAGTGCTCAAACTGAAGGAGCCGTAAACTTGCCCAGAACATGGAAAAGCTTAAATAGAAGTTTCAGTTACATACAAAAGTCAGAAGCATTTCAGAATAATCTTCAGTCTAAGTGAAGTGCTCAGGACTGCCCAGAGGCGCCCCGTGATGTTATCCCCAGTCCTCTGGGTACCTCAGGACACGCACTGGAGCTGAGGTGAGCAGGGTCGTGGCACCGCTCAGTGCCCATGCCCGCGCTTGGGTCTTCCAGTCCTCTTCCCCTAGGGCATGCTGCAGGGCTCGGCCTACCAGTGAGGCATGTGCAGACCTCTGCTTCCAGCCTCAGTGGTGGTGTGGCACCCTCAAAGCCAGGAGCCGTGCAGCCGCGTGCCAGAGGGCAGGCCCAGGTGCGGCCGCTTAGCTGCGCAACTCCCACCCAAGGTGAAGACAGTGGGGGGGGGGGGGGGGCAGGGTTAACAGTTCCTCAGTACCCAGAGGTACAGCGGCCCCACATCCGGAGCAGGACGCAGCTCTCTCCGTTCCGAGGCTTCTGGTCAGACAGTGCCACAGGGAAGCTCCAGTTGCCCCCCCGCCCCCCCGGGCCTCAGCTTGCACTCACCACGGGGCTGACCTTGCCTTGTGCAGATTCTGGGCTGGCTTGTCCAGCCAGACCTTGCTTTCCGCACCCCCAGGCCTTGAATGCCGCTGTGCCAGCTCCTGTGAGCCTTAGGGTGAGCACCCAGCGCCTCTTGCGGACACCCACAGGAACGGACCACACCACTGGGGGAGGTGGTGAGGCTCAGCCCCAAACTGGGGATGCTTGGGAGCCTCCCCTATCCACGACCGGCTTACTGCCTGCACAGCGCCTCCCACACAGGCGTTCTTGGGAGACGCCATGTCGAGCTACACCAGCGTCACCCAGAACCAAGCTGGGCGGAGTGTGAAGCGTCTGGCAAACCCAGCCCCTTCACGGACATGCTGCACCCTGCAACTTGAACCTTTCCTGAAAGCATATTAAAACTGGCAGATATTCCAGCTGCAGTTTTCCTGTCGGTCTGACAGAATTCTGTTGGCAAATCTGACTCTTCAAGTACATCAGTGTGGAAAAAGAACCCAATTTTAGTGGGTCCAGCATGAACGCTTGACTCTGGGCCCACCACTCAGCCCCCAGGCCTCTCTGGCCTGAGTCCTCATTCTCATGCTTTTTGGATAAGGATGTGATTAGCTCAAATAATCAAGATGGCCCATCAATCACATTTCTCTAGTTTATCTAAAATGCTATCAGTGTCCTCTGTCTTTAAACAGGCTTAAAACCAACCAACCAAAAGAAAAAAAAAACCCAAACCCCAAACACCCTTGGGTTCACATATTTGCTGGCTGCGCCCGAAACAAGCTAAATGAACACGGGCTGTCACAGCTCATCTGCAGGGGGAATCACCAATCTGTAGTCTCTAAAATTCAGGGAAAAGTGAGCTGCAGTCCCTTCACGCTACTTGAGGGGGCAAAACTTGCTCTCCGTAGAGGCCCCTCTTGGTCTCAGGGTGAAAGGACACACCCAAACTCGTCTTGAAGGCACGGACTAAAACTCTTGACGGCGGTAAGTAAGTCGTCAGTTGGTGAATTCTGGCTCGGACATGCGAGAAGTTAGACAAAGGCCATTGAAGACTTTCAGAAACCAGGCTGGAGGGACAACTTACCACGAGACCAGCAGGGAGAGGCCAGCCTGCCAGGGCTGAGTTCAAGAAACAGACTGCCATCCACATGCTCTAGGTTTTCATTACATTTGAAGTCTCTGACAAAATAATATTCAGAAGAGAACAGCTCCGTGTCACTCCCAGCCGTTGTCTTTGATCATATGTGCCAGCTCAATAATGAATTTCCCTTCCTTGTATTTCTGACTGCTCTCAAAGGCATGCTCCTTGAAAAAAGAGAGAGAGATTTCAGAACACAATCTGTTTCCTTGTTCAACTTCGTTACATTCTTGTGAAGAAAGTTAAGTGGGGCCAGAGCGATAGTACAGTGGGTAGGGCGCTTGCCTTGCACGCAGCCAACTCGGGTTCGATTCCCGAAATCCCATATGGTCCCCAGAGCAACTCCGGGAGAAATTCCTGAGTGCAGAGTCAGGAGTTACCCCTGAGCAGCGCTGGGTGTGACCCAAAAAAGAAAAGTGTGTTTGGAGTTAGGCAGAGGGATACAGTTTGGGGTAAGGCGCTTGCTTGCAGGCTGCCAACCCGGGTTCAATCCCCAGCATCCCATACAATCCCCTGATCTTCCTGAGTGCAGAGCCAAGAGTAAGCTCTGAGTACAGCTGGGTGCGGCCCAAAGACAAAATGTGTGCAAATGTTCTGGTTCACAGTCCAGCTATCTTGGACCGTGGGTGGGCTCAGGCCAGTGGGCTGGCCTTGCTGGGCCTGTGTACACGCAGGGGAGCATGGGACAGAAGAGAGCAGCAGAGTGGCCAGATGGGCATCGGACGGGGCTGGGAGTGCTGGCATGAGCAGTCTCTCAATAATGGAGCCTGGCAGAGGACGTGCCAGAGCTGTGCCCTGCTGGGGTGCGGGTGGGAGACGCAGGACACAAGGAACCCACAGAGGTGACAGAGGAGCAAGTCGGCACCACGTGGTTCAAGGACCCAGAGGAAAGGGTGGCACAGGGCAGGGGCACCTTTGTCTTTGGACCCACACTGGTCCTGAACCCTGAGGTCATACTTGCTCCTCTGTGCAGTGTCATCTATGGCCACCAGTTTGTGTCCCCAGAGAGGTGGGAGCAGTCCCCCCACCCTCACCTCAGAGAACTCCCACAGTCATTGGGTATGTGTGGGTTTTTTTTGGGGGGGGGGCTTTTTGGGTCACACCTGGTGATGCTCAGGAGTTACTCCTGGCTCTGCACACAGGAATCACTCCTGGCGGTGCTCAGGGGACCATATGGGACACTGGGAATCGAACGTGGGTCGGCCGCGTGCAAGGCAAACACCCTACCTGCTGTGCTATCACTCCAGCCCCTGTGAGGGTTTTTATTGAGTTGCTGCCCCGTGCCAGCAATGGAATCAGAGCCCTGGACTCTCCAGGCCAGTGCTCTGCCATGAGCAACAGCCTGGTTTCGTTTTCTGCTGCCCGGTGGGTGCCATGGCTGCTTCCAGTCTGAGACGGTTCAAGAGATTCTACTGTAAAACATGGGCCTTGAGTCACCAGGATCTCTCACACTACCAGGGCGCTCGGGGGTAGGGTGGGGTGGGGTGAGGGGGCATGTCTTGCTACCCTGCAGATCTGTAGCCTGGCGGGTTCTGACCATGCCGCTGCCTGCTCTGGAGGCCAAGGGGATGCGGGGGACACTCACGTATTTCCACCCGAGTGTGGTCTTGCAGTTCTCGCAGTAGATGTCTGCCACCGCGTGCAGGCCGGTCAGGAGGACACGCTCCTCCGCGGGGCCACAGCCCACGTTCACCCTGGGGAGAGGCGGGCTGCTGGGACGAGCACCCCTGCCCCAGGGCCTCCCGCCCCAAGACTGGCCCTCACCGTGGCTCGTTTCTCCAGCCAGGCACTACAGAACACATGGGTATTTTTCTGGCACTCTGCCTCTCCCGTGGCCGCACACTGACCACCTTATATGAGAAGGAAACACTTTTTTTCTCTTACTTTCCCACAAGACTGGCAGGTCAGGGCGAGTTCGGGAGGCGGCTACATCGCACACAGTAATAACCCGCAGCTGCGCCCACGAGGCTGAGCGTGTCAGTGACTCAGGCAAAGGGATCATCCCACACCAGCCTTCCTCAACGGGGTGCGAGGCTTCTGGGGGCCCCCAGCACACAGAATTCAAAGAGGGCCCAGGTGAAAACTGTGTAAAAGGGGTGGGGGGGCCACTGGAAGGGAGCAAGGTCAGAAAGGGGCCACGGTCAGAACAGGGTCGAGAAGCCCCAGAGACTCTCGTTACGGGTTCCAGCTATCACAGTATGCGGAGAAGCAACGGACACAGGTGGCCCCTGAGGCCACGGGCAGTGGTACTCACACAGAGTTGAAGAGGTAGGCTCGTCCCTGGCTTCCCTGAAAGGACTGCAAAAAAGGGGAAAGTCGTCAGAGTCTGGGTGTGGCAGACAAGGGCGGCTTCCCAGCCGCGGACAGACAAGACAGAAGGTGCAGTGACCAGACGGACGGACCCTGCCGCACATGCCCCTGTGCCCCTGTGCAGGACTCACAGGCTCAGACAGTTGCCGGGCACTCAGCTCCTGGCTGGGTGCCCGCCTTGCCAAGGCCCCGAAAGGAGGTGTCCAGGGGCGTCCACTTCTGACCCCAAACATGAAGGGACAAAGGAGCTGCTGAGTCACTGGGGACCAGGGTCTCTTCCCCATTGCAGCCTGCTCTGGAGAGCCTCCCTGCCTGTGCCTGGGGGCCCAGGCAGAGGGGCCACCAGGAATTCAACCTTTAGCACTTGGTTCCACGTGGTACGGGGGCATCACACTTGGGGCCTCGGGCATGCCAGGCTGGGAGTCCAGCCCTTCGAGCCATGGTCACTACAGTTTTCATTTCAGGTGGACGGAAACAAAAGTTTCATTACTACCTAGTCAAACACAAGTAGAACAATATTCTACTGAAGTGAAACAAGAAGCCCCAACCCAAGCTGGGCTCCTGAAAGGCACCAGCTCTGGGCAGGCTTTGGGGGGGGGGGGGCTGGGATTTAAGGAGCCCAGAAAAAGGCAGAAAGGGGAGGGAAAAAGGAGAGGATAGGGGGTGTATGTGGGGGGGCAGGAAACAGGAAACAACCATTACCAATGGGCCATTTTGTTATTTCTATAGAGTGAAACTTATTTGGAAAGATGTGAAGGGAGAGACAGAGGGTAAAACCGTGTTCAAGAGAGAAGCCTCAGAGCTGGAGTAATAGTACAGTGCATGCTGCTGACCCAGGTTTGATTCCCAGCATCCCATATGGTTCCCCGAGCACCACCAGGAGCCAGGAGTAACCCCTGTGCATCGCCAGGTGTAACCCAAAAGCAAACAAAAAAAAGAGAGAGAGAGAGGCCCTGGAGAGCAAAGCCTGTATGGGGCTTTAACAGGTAGCCCCCAGTGACCACAGCAGGTGCTGCTGACGGAGTCTGATGAACAGGGAGTCTTGCCGCTCTGCTCTGAATGTTTCAGCCATGCTAGGAGTATCCGAGACTTCCCTCTTGGACATCTTCTGGAAGCATCATCCCACTTCCTCTCATAGCCCCTTTTTTTCTCACCCATGTGGAACTCCAACACTTCTCAATCCCCTCCTAGAGCTCTTTCCCTGGGCTTTCAGCTGCCTCTTCTCTGCCACTGTTACGAGATGCATCACTTCTGGCTGGATCACTTCACAGCTGACACATTCTGCTCTTAGTGATCTTTGGGAAGCCGGGGCTGCCCAACCTCCTAATCTACCCACTGTGCAAAGCTCACAACCAGATCCCAGGTCTGCCAGCTGAACTCTGCACATCCCAGTGTCTGCATGCCCCGCCGTGTCCCCTCCTTAGCCCCTGCGAGACCCAGCCCTCACCTTGGAGATCAGCTCGTCATGGTTGGCCAGGTGGGCTCTGCAGTGGACACAGCTATATGTGCGGTGGCAGTTTGGCAGATAAGCTTGGAACGTTTTGGATTTGGTCAACTTCACCATCTCGGCGGTGCCCTCCACACTCAGCCCGCGGCTGGCGCTGGGCGCAGGGTAGCTCTGCTGGGCCCTTGAACCAAAACAGCACTGGATGCACGCAAGCACCGTTGTCGTCGGAGGGCGTGCGGCCCTGTGCGCACAGAGGGGACAAGACAGTGGTCTCACCCTCCACACGGCAGGGACAAGACAGCAGCGTCACAACCTGTTGGCAAATGAAGACCAATCAGTGAGCTGCGGTGAGGGGCCACCCATCAATGGTCTGCGGGGAACAGGGCTATGAGCTGGGGGCGCGGGGAGACGGGGGAAGAAAGGCCCTGTGTTAGGCCCTGGCACCACACTTATCTTTAAAAAAAAAAATAGAACGCTAAATACTTTTGATTTCTGGGTCTCACCCAGCAGTGGTTAGGACTTACTCCTGGTTCTGCGCTCAGGGATCAACTCCTGGTGGGGCATTGAGGGACCTTATGTGGTGTGAGGGATTGAACCCGGGTCAGCTCGATGAAAGGTAAGTACCTGCCCACTCTACTACTTATTTGGCTCATCTCGTACTTTATCACTGTTTAGCCTTATTTTGGGGCCACACCTGGCAATGCTCAAGACTTGATCCTGGCTCTGCACTCATGGACAGATCACTTCTGGCAGGCATGGGGGACCAAATTGGGTGCTGGAGATCCAAACTGGTCGACTGCATGCAAGGCAAGTGCCCGACCTGCTGTAGTATCAACTCCGGCCCCATAACTATCCTAAGTATAACTGGAAGCTGCAGGTGAATGACTTCCAGATAAATTAAGTTGAGAAGAACATTTGACCAAATAGATTTTGTACCTTATGCAGTGCCAGGAAACTTTTTAAAAAGCTGCACCAAGGCCCCCGTCTAAATGAGGCCAGCAGGATGTATCTTGTCCCACATGCTGGAGTGTGTGACTCAAAACCCTGGCCCAGTGCGAGTCTATGTGAGGCACCCACTATTAATCTTTTTTTTAGGCGGGGGGTGAGGGGCATCTGACTGTGTCAGGGCTTACTCCTGGCTCTGCACTCAGGGACCATTCCTGGCATGCCTGGGGGACCATACTGGGTACCAGGGATTGAACACGATCGACCTCTTGCAGGGCATCTCCCTATCTGCTGGATGATCACTCTGACCCCTGTATTAATCTTTAAGAAATTGTGTTACAAGCTCAGATATTAACCCTTACAAAAGGGCAGATGACTTTTCAACAACATTTACATGGGGAAAGAACAGCCATCAGCATGTGGTGCCTGGAAAACTAGGTATTCATCTGCAAAGAAATGCAGCAAGCACACAGCTAACACCTGCAAAGACCTATGTGTGAGAACTGAAACCAGAATCTTAGAAAAAAGCATCAAGGGAATTCTTTCTGACACTGGAGTTGGCAATGATTTCTTGGACACAGCACTGATGGGTATTTGGGCAAGAAAAGAGAAATAGAAGAAAATGTGGTGGAGAGGCAGTACAGGAAGAGACAATGACAAAGACATGCCAAAACTTAAAAAAAAAAATACCAACTCACAGAGTTCAAGTCTAAGAACTGCAAGTAGAATAGATTTTAAAAAACAAACCCTTGGTGTCAGAGAGATAATGCGGTAAGGTAGGGTGCCTGCCTGGTGTGCATCTGAACCAGGTTCTATTCCCAGCTCCACCTATGATCCCTAAGCAGTCAGGAGTAAATAACAAGTACCACTGGTTATGAGCCCCCAACAAAAACACAACAAACCCAGAAAAAAAAACACAAGAAGGAGAGGAAAAGTTACCTTTCAACAGAACAAATGTCTCCAAAGAATGAAACTCAAGAGGCAGTAGGGAAAGGGACCTCCAGGTTCTGAATGAAAACTAGAGTTCCACATCCAGTGAGAGCAGAAAATAACACTTTCATGGGACCAGAAAGATAGGAGAGTGGGTAGGGTGCTTGCCTTATCTAGGTTCCATTCCTCACATCTGTATGGTCCTCCAAGACCAGCAGACGTGATCTCTGATTGTAAAGTCAGGAGTAACAATCTCTGAGCATCACTGAATGTACTCACCCTTCCAAAAGACATTTTTAGCCAACCAAAAAGTTTGACCTGAGCAAAACAAACTGTAGCACTGTAGCACTGTCCTCCCGTTGTTCATCGATTTGCTCGAGCAGGCACCAGTAATGTCTCACAATAAACAGTGAGACTTATTGTTACTGTTTTTGGCATATTGAATACGTCAAAGCTTCCCAGGCTTTGCCGCATGAGCAGGATACTCTTGGTAGCTTGCTGGGCTCTCTGAGAGGGGCGGAGGAATCGAACCCAGGTTGGCCGCGTGCAAGGCAAACGCCCTACCCCCTGTGCAAAACAAGCACTGTAGCACTGCACTGTCCTCCCGCAGTTAATCGATTTGCTCAAACGGGCACCAGTAATGCCTCCATTGTGAGACCTGTTGTTACTGTTTTTGGCATATCAAATACATCACGGGTAGCTTACCAGGCTTTGCCGTGCAAAACAAAACAAAAACCCACCTAAGTTTAAGGACATGTTTCATTCAGAAGAAAAACAGCAGCAGACTAAAGTCTCAACTTTAAAGGAGAGAACTGGCGAATAAAGATGACCACGGGCTGAAGCGACAGCACAGTGGGGAGGCACTGGCACAAGGCTCACTGGGGCTTGATCCCCAGCACTCCATATAGTCCCCCGAGCACTTCCAGGAGGGATCCCTGGGCACTGTGATCTCAGTGAGGCCAGAAAAATGAGATATGAAGATTCCAAGGGAGGGCAAAAGAAGATTTGGCAATCACTGAAGTGCCTGCAGGTGGGGGGCCACGAGTCCGATCTTACAGTCCCACGCTCTGCTGTCTGGGACCCTCAGTGCCTCAACAGTGGGTGGTCTCTGGTGCACGGCCAGGAGTGTGCAAGCACCTCAATGAGGGTGCAGACGAGCCCTGGGAAGCCGTGATGTGAGCATGAGTATAGCCCCAGACAGCACCAGCAAATCTGTGTGACACTCCCCCAGTCCCAGGGTTGCTGCAAAGGGATGGACAGATCCCAAGGAAACAGCCTCACGTACCTGCAACGTCCGACGCAGAGCCTCTGAGGATAAACCCACGATGGAAAATACTTTCACAAAGAAGGTACAAAATTGAGGGCCAGGGGCCAGAGCGCTGCCACAGCAGGTAAAGTGCTGTCCCGCATGAGCCTGACCCGGGTACTGCACATGGTCCTCTGAGCTCCGCCAGGGGTGATCCCTGAGCACAGAGCCAGGAGTCAGCCCCGTCACTACCAGAGATGGCCCCAAAACAAAACTCAAGAGGGAAGATGGGAGACAGACACGTGGAGATGGATGCAAGCGGTACTGAGGCAACTGGGTGCCGGAGCCCTCCCTGAGTGGTCTCTTACAGGGACCACCCCCAGGGGTGCTGGTGCCCAGGGCCACCCCCAGTGGTGCTTGGGCTGGTGCTATGGTGCTGACAGTTGGGTGCTAGAATCTGCTGGTGCCCAGGGGACCACGCAATGCTTGGGGTCAAATCAGGTCTTTAAAAGCGACGAGGCAAGTACTGTCCCACCTGAAAAATAAATTGTTGCTTTAGGGGTCACACCTGGCAGTGCTCATAGCTTACTCCTGGCTCTGTGCTCAGGGATCACGCCTGGCAACATGGAGGTTCCAGGGACCAAAGCCTTGCATCCAATGGCTGCATGCAAGGCAAATGATCTATATTCTGGCCCCTGAAAGTAATTTTTTTTTCTGCTTTTTGGGTCACACCCGGCAATGCACAGGGCTTATTCCTGGTTCATGCACTCAGGAATCACTCCTGGCGGTGCTCAGGGGACCATATGGGATGCTGGGAATCGAACCTAGGTCAGCTGCGTGCAAGGCAAACGCCCTACCTGCTGTGCTATTGCTCCAGCCCCCCTGAAAGTAATTTTTAAATAAAATGCTACTCAAGTAAGAATCCAGAAAGGTGTATGTGTGCAGCCATGCCAGGAGCCAGAGCCTTACATTCATGACTGGAATGTAAGGGCTGGGATGGGCTCAGCGGCAGCATATGCCGTGCTCATGTGAAGCCTGGGCTTGACATCCAGCAGCCCCTGGCCACTGAGCATGGCTCAGGTGTATAGCCCACTGGCCTCCAGCATCTCAGCAGCAGTCACCACTGCCTGTCCTCCCCCCCTCCCCCCCACCGAAACTTGTCCTGTCCTGTGTCTGCAGAGGAATGAAACATTTTGCTGACTCTCCTGATGGAGAATCTCCTGGCTGGGTCCAAACTTCAGCTAAGCAAGATGAGCAGGAGAAAAGCAGCCAACTTCACTGAGGTTTACAGTGCCTGGAGGCCCTCCCAGGAGAGTCAGGAGTGAAGGAGAGACCAGCACCAGAAGCTTTTACACTGGGCAGGCAAAGGTACATGTGTGAACAGCTGACTGGACAACAGGGGAGGCGAGGGCAGGGAGATTGTCTAAGGGAATCGAACCTAGGTCAGCTGCGTGCAAGGCAGAGATTGTCTAAGGCTGAGATTGTCAAGGTTTGCTGACACCTTCTGAGGCCCCCAAGTCCCACCCTGTGCGAAGTGTCCCCCTAGGCTGGACATAGTACGGGGAAGGTGCTGGCCTTGTAATGGATGGCCTGGGTTCCATCCTTAGCATCCCATAGGTCCCCTGAGTACACCAGGAGCGACCCCTGAACACTGCCTGGTGTGGTCCAAAACAATGAAAACGGTGTCTTCCTGGGCTAGACAGAGTACGGGGAGCGGGGGGGCAATGGCCTTGCAAGCTGCTGAATCCCGTTCAATTGCCAGGACCACATATGATCCCCCAAGCACCTCCAGGAGTCCAGGAGTGACTTCTGAGCACAGGGTCAGGAGTAGCCACTGAGCACAGCAGGGCATGGCCAAACAACCCCCCCCCCCGCCACACACACACACACACACACACACACACACACACCCCTCCCGGTCGGGGACAGGGAGGCCGCGACCAGGGGAGTGTGAAGGAAGAAGGAAAGGAGAGAGGCAGGACAGAGAGTGACTTTCCTCTCTGCTCCCCAAGCCCCTCCCTGTCACAGTGTCATTCTCGGGGCAACATATCCTACAGGCCTTCATGCCCAAGGCCAGAACAGGTCAGCAAGTTCTTGGAGAGGGAGACGGGGACAGCGACTCACCCGGAGTCTGCTGGTGAGCGAGTGCTGTCCCTCTCCATGGCTGCCACCGCAAGCGTGGGCCTGGCCCA